TGCATGTAAATAGTACACAAGCAACGAATCGAACAGGCATGCCTTGAACGCGGATGGATGGATTATATAGCTAGGCCTAGGAGGAGGAATTGGAGGCCGAAGACGAGGTGGCGATGGCGGCGAGCTTCTGGAGGTTGAGCTTGACGACGGTATCGGTGAACATGCGCGTGTCCTCCTCCGTGTTCCCCTCAGGGACGTCGACGACGTATGACTCGACGACGACGCAGTACGGTCGTCCCGCTCCCTCCGCCGGCGGCTCATCCGGCCCGTGGTGGAACTCGGTGACGGAGGTGACGGAGCGGTAGTTGCGGAGGCGGTGGTCTCCCCCGACGACGCGGAAGCTGAGGATGTGGCGGTCGTCGTCGAGGATCTCGAGGCGCTCGGTGCTGGTGGACGCCGGGAGGCCCGACACGACGGTGACCTCGCGGACGCTGCCCACGGTGGCGCCGTCGCCGGCCCTGAGGTCGCACGACTTGATGAAGTGCTTGTACCGCTGCGGGGTGGCGAAGCCGCGCACGATGGGCCACACGGCGGCCAGCGGCGCGTCCACGCGCTGCGTCACCAGCGACGTGCACGTCCCCGGCGCGCGCCCCGGGAACGTGTGGTGCGCCCGCACCACGGGCTCCAGCTCCCGCTGCTCCGCCTCCGACAGGCCACCCTGACGCAGCGCGCTCTCCATGTGAGGCTCCATGCCCAGCTGCCGGCTGCCGGCTGCTGCTGTTGCGAGCTCTCAGTCTCTGTCTCTCTCTCTGTACCCTCCGTGGGTTGCGATTGTATTATAGCAGTGTCATCAAATGGAGGAGTAGTGCTCCTCCTCTCTCTCGGTACTGTAGCGGGCTGGCTGGCAGGGGCACCACCAAGCAGGAGGATTGATTGATTGTTGTACGTTGGGAGGTTGGTCAGGAGGTGTCTCACCTTTTATGGCTGCCTTGTTTGGGTTTAATTTGGTCCGTTCAGGTTCAGCCGGGCGGAGGGACCATTTGCTCAAATCATGAGGAGGAGCTGTTCGGTTGAGCACCGGATTTTTAGAAGAAAACATGAACTAGTTTTATATTTTTATAATTTAAAATAAATTAATTATGAACTTATAGAGATCGAACCGAATTTTTATTATTATTAGAAAATAGAAAATCGCTTTTGAAACCAGTCGATGACCAAATTTGTCTGGTTTTGACAGTTGAAATGTGTTTGTTACCCGGTTTCATAGTCGAAGGTTGAAAATCGAGTTAGAGGTTGGAAAATGTATTTTACCCTTTGCTATGGTAACTTTTGGCGGGAGAATATTTGCCTATATGACGTTATGGCCCTCATAGTTTCAAGTTGTTCGCTAATTTCCACGTACATAAACATCGATTAAATTTACTGAAACAAACGTGCAAGATCACAGACAATGTTAGAGATATAATATTTGCTGACGACATTCAGCCAAACCCGTGTCCACGAGACAGCCTGGGCAAAATACCCGATGCCCATTACTCGTACCCGAATTACCCGAACCTGAACCCGAACCTGAGGTTCTCGATCCTAAATTCGTATAGCAATTCTTATTACCCAAAATAAGTTTCGGTAATTCGGGTAATATCTCCCGATACCCGAACTACCCAGACTATCCGAATATGTGTCTGTCTTTGTGTTTGTGATGTTTTGTCGGTTGAGCACTTGAACTTATCATTTTATTAGTATATGATTCTCTTTGTTTGAACAAGTGGCTGTAATATATTAGGATTAAGTCCACTTTTGACCCCTCAACTATAGGGTTCGTCTAATTTTAACCATTAACTACAAAACCATCTAGCGGTGATACCCTAACTGTCAAAACTGTTCACTTTTAGCACCTGGGCGCGGGCAGAGCTGTTTTGTCCTACGTGGAGCAGGTTTGACCACGCCACGCTGGTGTTGACCGCGCACGTAGGATGCCAACCTCCATCTCAGTGACATATGGGGCACACACGTCACCCACTCATCACCTCCCTTCCCAATGAAGCCACGCAGGGCTGCAGGATGCAGGCGCCTTAGCCAGGAAGATCTGGCTACGGGCTCTGGTCGTCGGGGGCAGCCAGCTGCAGGCTTTAAGGCCGCCGTAGATTTCGAGAGGGAGGAGAGGAAGGAGAGCGCCGACAAGGGCAGCGAAGGCGCGCGGACAAGCCGCGGTTACACTTGCACGCACAACCATGGTGGTGGAGGAGGCCTGCAGGCGAGCAGCGCCGGGCCCACGCGGTCCCGGGGCCAGCCGCGGCTCGGCCGGAGGCGGGGCGTGGCCTGCCGACCACGCGTGCTGGCAGCCCGGCGGCCACGATCGCGGTGGGGAGGAGCTGAGGAGACCCCTGGGGCCCCCGCGCTCGCTGGTGCGACGCCCACCGGCACGGCGCAGTTACACCGGGCAAAAGAGCGACGCGCCGGCCAAGTTAACGAGTCTATGAGCATATATGGATCAAAGCGAAACCCTGGACGGCGGTTAGAAGTTAAACGATGAACTCTAGCGCTCTGACCACGGCGGCGACGAACTGCTACGGCGGGCGCGACTGTTCCGGCAAGCCTAGACAGTGAGGGAGTGGTAGAGATTGAGTGGGAGCATCCACATCTTACTCTGGTGCTAGCAGTGCCTACAGTTGAGGCGGAGGGTGTCGGTTAAAGGCTGGCCACGTGCGGGCAGTGAGGTCGACGGCGCTCCGCGGCGGACACGGCCGCGTCACCGGCCGAACTACTGCGGTAGAGGTTGAGGCGAGGTGAGCACGAGCTATATCAAGTCTCGGCGAGTCTATTAGTGGTATTTTATTAGACTCTACCGTTCGGTGGACCTCAACCTCTAATTTCTATTGTTGCAGCGGCTGTAGTGACCGGAGGGTGAGGGAGAGGTGCAGGGGAGCAGAGCCGCATAGAGGAGGCTCAACGTGGGCGGCATTATTGCCGCGGCGCGTGCGGTTGCTCTGTCCACGGTGGGCGTAATCGCAGCGGCAGAGGGCAGACGGCTGCTCTGTCGTGGCGAGCTCGGCTGGGGCGCAGGGAGGAGGCGGCCGCCGTAGCTTGCTCGAGCGCTGCCGTGTTGCTTGGGCGCCACTGCCGCAGCTTGCTCGCGCCGCCCTGCTCGCGAGCCGTTGCCGTCGCCTGCTCACGCACCGCGGCAGCCTGCTCGAGCGTCGTGTTGCTGTGCTGCTCGTGCGTCGCCGCCGTAGCCTGCTCCCGCCGCCGCCCTGCTCCCGCACTGCGTCCTCCATTGCCTCCTTCACGCGCGCAGGAACAGGAGGAAAGGGGTTCTACGTAGCGGTCAATGCCAGCGGGGCATGGTCAAAACCGCTCCACGTAGGACAAAACAGCCATGCCCACGCCCAGGTGCTAAAAGTGAACGGTTTTGACAGTTGGGGTATCACGACTAGACGGTTTTGTAGTTGAGGGTTAAAATTAGACGAATCCTATAATTGAGGGGCCAAAAGTGGACTTAATCCAAAATGTTATTCTCTACAAATTGTTGTTGAAATTTATACAAATCGCTGCTAAAGTTATGTATAAAATTGCTCTAGAAGTTTTGTGTAGTTTGCTCTTTTATGTGAATTCGGGTATATCGGGTATACCCGAATCCTAATTATCGGGTACCCGAAATTTCGGATAGTGTTATTTCGGGGTGAATATCGGGTAGCAATTTTCATTATCCGAATTTTGAATTACCCGACCCAAACAAAATCGGGTAACCCGAACGCCCAGGCTTGCCCGAGACATGACAACGCACACTCCTCCCGAGTATAGCAACAGAGGCCCCTTATTTGACTACTTGGAAAGTGAGATGTGAAGTTATTTTGAGATGGATAGAGTAAAATACTAATACATTTATCCTAAAATACTTAATGGTTTAGTTTTATCAAAAACCAGATTATCTAAAGTTTGACAAATATATACAAAAGAATACTCATATTTATATATTGAAATAATTGCCATTGGACTCATCATGGAATACATTTTCAAATTATAGTTTGTTAGTGTCATAAATGTTAATAATTTTTTCTATAGATTTCATTAAACTTAAGATAGCTTTACTTATAGAACAAAATTAAAGCATTAAATTTCTGGTACGGACGGAGTATAAACTTTGGAGATAATGTTGGTTGAGGCCGGCGCTTTTCCTTGCCCCTCCCCTAAGCAAGTTTGGTTTGCATCTACATTGAAATCGAAATATATATAGTTGCATATAATAATTATCGAAAAGGGCCATGGGTGGGAAACAATGTGCTTAGGAGCACTTCCTTTTTGTTTGCATGTGAAATTCGTACGGATTACTTTACTGAGAATATCAACTGTTTCAAACAGGGCCAAAATAGAAGATACAACCTATAAAACCTTTGTCTTTCAGTCTTCAGAAGATATAACGTGAGGATGGGAATAAAGGGGCAAGTGTTTGATAGAGATGCGATGCACTGCGGAGCGAAGGTTGGGGAAAGTCCACATTTCACGGAATCCTACAGGCTCATTGTGCATGCATGTGACTGGCAGTGGATACCTTTCACTCAACTGATAATAAACCTTCTAGTGGAAGTATGATGCGACACAGTTGACCGTCACTGTTCACTGCTAAAAAAAGCACTCAACTCGTTTTGCTTGGTCGCAAGATAAACAATAATCTAAGACCCCATTTGGATTCTTAGAATTTATTTTAATAATAATAATTTAGACACATATTAACTAAGCTAATATGGTTGTATATGAATTATATTTGTATATTATTATTGGCTAAATGAGAGAGACATTTATGTAAGATGAACAAACAAGAAAGAAGACGAAGAAGAATGCTTCGCCATTTGATTACGGTCGTTTGTAGCAAACTGGTGGACAACATTTTCTCTCTAGCTTCTTGTTTGTTCCAAAGAGAAACGAAAACGATCGAGAATGAGAAGCAAGCAAGAAGCATCGATCGTCACCATGCAGCCATTTGTAGCGCATGTAAATAGTACACAAGCAACGAATCGAACAGGCATGCCTTGAACGCGGATGGATGGATTATATAGCTAGGCCTAGGAGGAGGAATTGGAGGCCGAAGACGAGGTGGCGATGGCGGCGAGCTTCTGGAGGTTGCGCTTGACGACGGTATCGGTGAACATGCGCGTGTCCTCCTCCGTGTTCCCCTCAGGGACGTCGACGACGTATGACTCGACGACGACGCAGTACGGTCGTCCCGCTCCCTCCCCCGGCGGCTCATCCGGCCCGTGGTGGAACTCGGTGACGGAGGTGACGGAGCGGTAGTTGCGGAGGCGGTGGTCTCCCCCGACGACGCGGAAGCTGAGGATGTGGCGGTCGTCGTCGAGGATCTCGAGGCGCTCGGTGCTGGTGGACGCCGGGAGGCCCGACACGACGGTGACCTCGCGGACGCTGCCCACGGTGGCGCCGTCGCCGGCCCTGAGGTCGCACGACTTGATGAAGTGCTTGTACCGCTGCGGGGTGGCGAAGCCGCGCACGATGGGCCACACGGCGGCCAGCGGCGCGTCCACGCGCTGCGTCACCAGCGACGTGCACGTCCCCGGCGCGCGCCCCGGGAACGTGTGGTGCGCCCGCACCACGGGCTCCAGCTCCCGCTGCTCCGCCTCCGACAGGCCACCCTGACGCAGCGCGCTCTCCATGTGAGGCTCCATGCCCAGCTGCCGGCTGCCGGCTGCTGCTGTTGCGAGCTCTCAGTCTCTGTCTCTCTCTCTGTACCCTCCGTGGGTTGCGATTGTATTATAGCAGTGTCATCAAATGGAGGAGTAGTGCTCCTCCTCTCTCTCGGTACTGTAGCGGGCTGGCTGGCAGGGGCACCACCAAGCAGGAGGATTGATTGATTGTTGTACGTTGGGAGGTTGGTCAGGAGGTGTCTCACCTTTTATGGCTGCCTTGTTTGGGTTTAATTTGGTCCGTTCAGGTTCAGCCGGGCGGAGGGACCATTTGCTCAAATCATGAGGAGGAGCTGTTCGGTTGAGCACCGGATTTTTAGAAGAAAACATGAACTAGTTTTATATTTTTATAATTTAAAATAAATTAATTATGAACTTATAGAGATCGAACCGAATTTTTATTATTATTAGAAAATAGAAAATCGCTTTTGAAACCAGTCGATGACCAAATTTGTCTGGTTTTGACAGTTGAAATGTGTTTGTTACCCGGTTTCATAGTCGAAGGTTGAAAATCGAGTTAGAGGTTGAAAAATGTACTTTACCCTTTGCTATGGTAACTTTTGGCGGGAGAATATTTGCCTATATGACGTTATGGCCCTCATAGTTTCAAGTTGTTCGCTAATTTCCACGTACATAAACATCGATTAAATTTACTGAAACAAACGTGCAAGATCACAGACAATGTTAGAGACATAATATTTGCTGACGACATTCAGCCAAACCCGTGTCCACGACTAAGCCAGGGCAAAATACCCAATGCCCATTACTCGTACCCGAATTACCCGAACCTGAACCCGAACCTGAGGTTCTCGATCCTAAATTCGTATAGCAATTCTTATTACCCAAAATAAGTTTGGGTAATTCGGGTAATATCTCCCGGTACCCGAACAACCTAGACTATCCGAATATGTGTCTGTCTTTGTGTTTGTGATGTGTTGTCAGTTGAGCACTTGAACTTATCATTTAATTAGTATATGATTTTCTTTGTTTGAACAAGTGACTGTAATATATTAGGATTAAGTCCACTTTTGACCCCTCAACTATAGGGTTCGTCTAATTTTAACCATTAACTACAAAACCATCTAGCGGTGATACCCTAACTGTCAAAACTGTTCACTTTTAGCACCTGGGCGCGGGCAGAGCTGTTTTGTCCTACGTGGAGCAGGTTTGACCACGCCACGCTGGTGTTGACCGCGCACGTAGGATGCCAACCTCCATCTCAGTGACATATGGGGCACACACGTCACCCACTCATCACCTCCCTTCCCAATGAAGCCACGCAGGGCTGCAGGATGCAGGCGCCTTAGCCAGGAAGATCTGGCTACGGGCTCTGGTCGTCGGGGGCAGCCAGCTGCAGGCTTTAAGGCCGCCGTAGATTTCGAGAGGGAGGAGAGGAAGGAGAGCGCCGACAAGGGCAGCGAAGGCGCGCGGACAAGCCGCGGTTACACTTGCACGCACAACCATGGTGGTGGAGGAGGCCTGCAGGCGAGCAGCGCCGGGCCCACGCGGTCCCGGGGCCAGCCGCGGCTCGGCCGGAGGCGGGGCGTGGCCTGCCGACCACGCGTGCTGGCAGCCCGGCGGCCACGATCGCGGTGGGGAGGAGCTGAGGAGACCCCTGGGGCCCCCGCGCTCGCTGGTGCGACGCCCACCGGCACGGCGCAGTTACACCGGGCAAAAGAGCGACGCGCCGGCCAAGTTAACGAGTCTATGAGCATATATGGATCAAAGCGAAACCCTGGACGGCGGTTAGAAGTTAAACGATGAACTCTAGCGCTCTGACCACGGCGGCGACGAACTGCTACGGCGGGCGCGACTGTTCCGGCAAGCCTAGACAGTGAGGGAGTGGTAGAGATTGAGTGGGAGCATCCACATCTTACTCTGGTGCTAGCAGTGCCTACAGTTGAGGCGGAGGGTGTCGGTTAAAGGCTGGCCACGTGCGGGCAGTGAGGTCGACGGCGCTCCGCGGCGGACACGGCCGCGTCACCGGCCGAACTACTGCGGTAGAGGTTGAGGCGAGGTGAGCACGAGCTATATCAAGTCTCGGGCGAGTCTATTAGTGGTATTTTATTAGACTCTACCGTTCGGTGGACCTCAACCTCTAATTTCTATTGTTGCAGCGGCTGTAGTGACCGGAGGGTGAGGGAGAGGTGCAGGGGAGCAGAGCCGCATAGAGGAGGCTCAACGTGGGCGGCATTATTGCGGCGGGGCGCGTCGCGGGTTGCTCTGGCCCACGGTGGGGCGAATCGCAGTGGCAGAGGGCGACGCGTTTTGCCTGTCGCCGTGGCGAGCCTCACTGGGCGGGAGGAGGAGGCGGCCGCCGTAGCTTGCTCGAGCGCTGCCGTGTTGCTTGGGCGCCATTGCCGCAGCTTGCTTGCTCGCGCCGCCTGCTTTCATGAGCCCGTTGCCGTCGCCGCTCACGCGCATGCGGGCAGCACCGCTGCTCGGCGTCGTGTTCTTGTTGTCTTTCGCTCGTGCGCGCGCCGCCGCCTGCCCTGCGCCCGCCGCGCCTGCTCCCGCACTGCGTCCTCCATTGCCTCCTTCACGCGCGCAGGAACAGGAGGAAAGGGGTTCTACGTAGCGGTCAATGCCAGCGGGGCATGGTCAAAACCGCTCCACGTAGGACAAAACAGCCATGCCCACGCCCAAGTGCTAAAAGTGAACGGTTTTGACAGTTGGGGTATCACGACTAGACGGTTTTGTAGTTGAGGGTTAAAATTAGACGAATCCTATAATTGAGGGGCCAAAAGTGGACTTAATCCAAAATGTTATTCTCTACAAATTGTTGTTGAAATTTATACAAATCGCTGCTAAAGTTATGTATAAAATTGCTCTAGAAGTTTTGTGTAGTTTGCTCTTTTATGTGAATTCGGGTATATCGGGTATACCCGAATCCTAATTATCGGGTACCCGAAATTTCGGATAGTGTTATTTCGGGGTGAATATCGGGTAGCAATTTTCATTATCCGAATTTTGAATTACCCGACCCAAACAAAATCGGGTAACCCGAACGCCCAGGCTTGCCCGAGACATGACAACGCACACTCCTCCCGAGTATAGCAACAGAGGCCCCTTATTTGACTACTTGGAAAGTGAGATGTGAAGTTATTTTGAGATGGATAGAGTAAAATACTAATACATTTATCCTAAAATACTTAATGGTTTAGTTTTATCAAAAACCAGATTATCTAAAGTTTGACAAATATATACAAAAGAATACTCATATTTATATATTGAAATAATTGCCATTGGACTCATCATGGAATACATTTTCAAATTATAGTTTGTTAGTGTCATAAATGTTAATAATTTTTTCTATAGATTTCATTAAACTTAAGATAGCTTTACTTATAGAACAAAATTAAAGCATTAAATTTCTGGTACGGACGGAGTATAAACTTTGGAGATAATGTTGGTTGAGGCCGGCGCTTTTCCTTGCCCCTCCCCTAAGCAAGTTTGGTTTGCATCTACATTGAAATCGAAATATATATAGTTGCATATAATAATTATCGAAAAGGGCCATGGGTGGGAAACAATGTGCTTAGGAGCACTTCCTTTTTGTTTGCATGTGAAATTCGTACGGATTACTTTACTGAGAATATCAACTGTTTCAAACAGGGCCAAAATAGAAGATACAACCTATAAAACCTTTGTCTTTCAGTCTTCAGAAGATATAACGTGAGGATGGGAATAAAGGGGCAAGTGTTTGATAGAGATGCGATGCACTGCGGAGCGAAGGTTGGGGAAAGTCCACATTTCACGGAATCCTACAGGCTCATTGTGCATGCATGTGACTGGCAGTGGATACCTTTCACTCAACTGATAATAAACCTTCTAGTGGAAGTATGATGCGACACAGTTGACCGTCACTGTTCACTGCTAAAAAAAGCACTCAACTCGTTTTGCTTGGTCGCAAGATAAACAATAATCTAAGACCCCATTTGGATTCTTAGAATTTATTTTAATAATAATAATTTAGACACATATTAACTAAGCTAATATGGTTGTATATGAATTATATTTGTATATTATTATTGGCTAAATGAGAGAGACATTTATGTAAGATGAACAAACAAGAAAGAAGACGAAGAAGAATGCTTCGCCATTTGATTACGGTCGTTTGTAGCAAACTGGTGGACAACATTTTCTCTCTAGCTTCTTGTTTGTTCCAAAGAGAAACGAAAACGATCGAGAATGAGAAGCAAGCAAGAAGCATCGATCGTCACCATGCAGCCATTTGTAGTGCATGTAAATAGTACACAAGCAACGAATCGAACAGGTATGCCTTGAACGCGGATGGATGGATTATATAGCTAGGCCTAGGAGGAGGAATTGGAGGCCGAAGACGAGGTGGCGATGGCGGCGAGCTTCTGGAGGTTGCGCTTGACGACGGTATCGGTGAACATGCGCGTGTCCTCCTCCGTGTTCCCCTCAGGGACGTCGACGACGTATGACTCGACGACGACGCAGTACGGTCGTCCCGCTCCCTCCCCCGGCGGCTCATCCGGCCCGTGGTGGAACTCGGTGACGGAGGTGACGGAGCGGTAGTTGCGGAGGCGGTGGTCTCCCCCGACGACGCGGAAGCTGAGGATGTGGCGGTCGTCGTCGAGGATCTCGAGGCGCTCGGTGCTGGTGGACGTCGGGAGGCCCGACACGACGGTGACCTCGCGGACGCTGCCCACGGTGGCGCCGTCGCCGGCCCTGAGGTCGCACGACTTGATGAAGTGCTTGTACCGCTGCGGGGTGGCGAAGCCGCGCACGATGGGCCACACGGCGGCCAGCGGCGCGTCCACGCGCTGCGTCACCAGCGACGTGCACGTCCCCGGCGCGCGCCCCCGGGAACGTGTGGTGCGCCCGCACCACGGGCTCCAGCTCCCGCTGCTCCGCCTCCGACAGGCCACCCTGACGCAGCGCGCTCTCCATGTGAGGCTCCATGCCCAGCTGCCGGCTGCTGGCTGCTGGCTGCTGCTGTTGCGAGCTCTCAG